CACACGTCTCGACGAGAGGAACACGATGCCGGCAAACGCAATGTCGTGCCTATCTAAGGTAAACTAATTTTGCCGTAAAATATATAAATCGTCAAAACAGCTATTTTAGGCGTTGTTGCCCTCTGGAGGCTACACTGTTGAGCTTAGGTCAACTTTGAGGGCTTATTCCAGAAAGCGTTAGTAGAGCTACTGAATGCGCATCTTTGCGGCGCTTTAGCTCTATTAGTTTCCGAGCTTGTGGGCCGATTTGTAAAAAAGTTAAAAAGGTGAAAATTGACCTTTGATGACCTCTGGTGACCTGATCTTTGGTCTGACCTAAAACATGACAGGAGTTTTTTCCATGAATTTTTATGTTATTTTGAATGCCGCTTACGGCATCTTACATGCAGCTTACTCCTGTGCCGCTAAGTGGCACAGGAGTCGAGTTATGGGTGTTCAATCCCCCTCCCAAAAAACCGGCACGGCTGGTGCCGAGCGCGGCCCCGCGCGGGTTAAAGTGTCTGCCATTGACATTGTATGCGAGCTATGGCATTAACTAGACTTACGAGCCACGGTCAGCATACTGCCCGAGTAAACATCCTGCCCGTGAGATGAAAGGCGGGTAGTATGCATACTACCCGGGCAGTATGCAAACTACCCGGGCGGTATGCATACTGCCCAAGCGGTCGGGTAGTATGCATACTACCCGGGCGGTATGCATACTGCCCGGGCTGTTGGGTAGTTTGCATACTGCCCGGGTAGTTTGCATACTACCCGAGTTAGCATATGGCCCGTAACATATATAAGATCTCTATGGATGTGACCGGAATCTGATTAGTGAGGTGCATGGGTGGTCTGGGATCTTTTGTATTTTATAGAAGTATCTGAATAGTGCAATGATTCTCCGTTGTGCCAGTGTTTCAATGTCTGTATATACATGTAGGCTGGTGATTGGTGTGGTGGATAATGCTGCCGTGGAGATTCTAAGTGCTGAATTTTGGATGACGTCTAGTTTTCTAAGGTGTGTCTTGGCTGCGTTGTCAAAGGCGATGGCTCCGTATTCAAGGATAGGACGGATTAAGGACTTGTACAATTTAAGTAGTGTGTGGGTGTCTCCTCCAAAGTCGGTGCCTGATAGTGCTTTTAAAATGTTTAGTCTTTTGGATGCTTTAGTGGCGGTGTTGGAGATGTGTGTCTGGAAGGTTAGTGGGCGATCTAAAGTTATGCCGAGGAATTTTGCTTCTTCAACTATTGGAATTTCGTGTCCGTTGATGGATAGGGGTGTGGGAAGGTGTGGTTTATGGTTGCTAAAAAGGACGCATTTGGTTTTCTCGGGAGATATATGTAGGTTGAGCGGTTGCAGTGCTTGGTGAACATGCTGGAGGGCTTTGTCGAGTTGTTGTAGGGCATTGTTTTGGTGTTTCGAGGTTGTCCAAATGGCGATATCGTCTGCATAAAGAGCAATTTTGGAGGGGGATGGGACATTTTTTAGGGTTGAGTTTAGAGCTATGATAAAGAGGATTGGGCTAAGGACGGAACCTTGCATTAATCCTGATGTGGGAGTTTTGGGGTTAGATAAGGAATTCAGGTATTTGACTTGGAAGGATCTTCGGGTTAGGTAATTGTTGAGATAATGTAGGAGGTGTCCGGATATTTTGTGCTGGAGATAATTTAGGAGAAAGGTGTTTAGATTGTCATATGCGTTTTTAAGGTCGAGGAATAGAGCTGCAGTGGTTCGGTTCATGTGTAGACTGTGGTTTATGTCTGCTGTGATGGATACTATGTTGTCTAATGTGTTTTTGCCAGGGAGGAAGCCGCTTTGCTGTGGGATGATCAGGTTTTGGGTCTGAATGATGAAGAGGAGGCGGTGTTTGATGATACGCTCAAAAATTTTGTGGATAGTGTTTGTTAAGGATATTGGTCTGTAGCTCGATAAGGAGGTCGCGTCTTTTTGTGGTTTCTGTATTGGAATGATGTGTGCTTGGAACCATGTCTCTGGGTATGTATGTGAGGTAAATGCGTGGTTTAGTGCGTGGAGTAAAAGTGTTTTGCCTCTTTTTCCTAAGTGTTTGTAAAACTGGTAGTGAATTTCGTCTGGGCCTGGTGCTGTGTTGCCGGTTCGGTTTAGTGCGTTTTCTAGCTCGGTGAGGGTGAATGGTAGATTGTATGGGTGATGGTCTGTGTGGTGTGGGATATGTAGAGGAATAGGAACTGGACATTGTGATGAAATTTCGTAAACCAGCCGAAAGTACTTCAATTACTCTTTCTACTATCAACACAGATCACAAATTTGAAACATGCGTTGTTTCGAAGGTTACCATGGAGGATTTACAACACAACAATAAATTAGAACTTCCTCCGTTATTTGTTCTAAATAAGATCCCAGTGTCCATCGAGGATGCCCCGAACGTTAGAGATTTAAACAAATGGCCGTACTTGAGACAAAACGGGGTATACTTAGAAGAAAACTTTAAGCACGACGTAGGCCTTCTACTTGGGAATAATGTGGCGGCGGTGATGGAGCCGTTTGAGGTGGTTCCCAGTCAGAACGGCGGGCCATTCGCCGTGAGAACCAGGTTCGGATGGGTCCTAGGTGGGGTTGATAAGGATTCTCCGGTTCGTCTGAAAGTTAACCAATTGCAAGTGGCTCTTGACGACGTTTATGGTAATAGGGCTGAATATCGGTTGGGTCTGTCCGCAGAAGACATTAGGTGGCACGAAATGGTAAAGGCATCGTGCCAGCTGATAGATGGTCGGTACGAAATAGCCCTGCCGTTTCGTGATCCAAGTCTTAAACTTCCAAACAATAAGTCTGTGGCTTATAGGCGCCTTGTGCAACTGAAGCGCAGATTCGAGAATCAGCCCCATTTCTTGAGAGAATATGCCAAGCAAATTGATAAACTGTTAGACAACGGCTACGCTGAAAGAGCTCCCGATCTCTCGAGCAATGCAGAAGGTAGGATATGGTTTGTGCCCCATCACGGAGTCGAACACCCTGTTAAGAAAGGCAAATTACGCGTTGTTTTTGACTGCGCTAGCTCCTTTCAAGGAAGAAGTCTAAATGAGGAGCTTTTACAAGGACCTGACCTTACCAACACCCTGACAGATGTTCTACTTCGTTTCCGACAAGAACCCGTTGCCTTCATGGCGGACGTCGAGGGTATGTTCTTACAGGTGAGGATTCCCGAGAAACAACGTGATTTTTTGCGTTTCCTATGGTGGCCCAATGGAAACATCGCCTCGAATCCTAAGGAATATAGGATGACAGTTCATCTTTTTGGCGCTGTTTCCTCTCCTAGCTGTGCAAATTTTGCGCTTCGTCGCACCGCTCTAGACAATGAACGGTTGTACGACCCATTGGTGTCTAGGACAGTTCTTAATAACTTTTATGTGGATGATTGTCTTGCATCGACTGGAAAAGAAGATGTTGCTGTGAAGCTGGCATCTGATCTTAAGCAATTGTGTCTGAGAGGTGGATTTAATCTCACCAAGTTTGTTAGCAATAGCGTTACAGTTTTGAAATCCATTCCAGAAGTTGACTACTCGCCCGGTATCCAAACACTAGATTTGAAATCAGATACTTTGCCTTCCGAGCGAGCCTTAGGCGTTGGCTGGAACGTTCGTTCTGATCGCTTAGAATATCAAGTTGACTTGCAAAAATTTCGGGGCAAGCCTGTCACAAGACGAGGGCTTCTGTCCGCCACAGCAGGTCTTTATGATCCACTGGGGCATGTTGGTCCGTATGTAATGCGGGCCCGAATGCTCTTACAAGAGCTGACTCGCCTTCGTTTAGGTTGGGACGATGAGGTGCCATCCCACTACCACAGACAGTGGAAGCAATGGTTAGCAGATCTAGAATGTCTATCCCAGTATAGTCTTCCCAGGTGCATATGTTTCGGTGGCCTTTCCTCTGCCGTCCTCCTCGAGCTGCATCACTTTTCGGATGCCAGCGAAAGGGGGTACGGGGTGGCCTCGTACGTGCGAGCCGTCAATGGAGACGGTCAACTGTCTTGCAATCTTTTGGTCAGCAAATCCCATTTAGCACCAATTAAGCCTCTCAGTATCCCAAGGCTGGAGCTTTCTGCTGCAACACTAGCTGTCAAAGTCAATTTAGAAATACAAAGAGCGTTTCCATTCGATTTTAAGCCAGACATCTTCTTCTGGACTGATAGCACTACAGTGTTGAAATATATACAGAATGAGGCAGCGCGATTTCATGTGTTCGTGGCAAATCGTTTGGCAGTTATACGAGACGGCTTTTCAATAGACCAATGGCGATGGGTGCCTTCGGAGTTAAACCCAGCCGACATTTTGTCACGCGGGTGCGATGGAACTACCCTTCTCAAAGAGTGTATGTGGCGTCAAGGTCCATCGTTTCTACTTGAATCACGGGAGAAATGGCCCCGATTCCCTGTCTTAGAAGATAATGCAGAGGACCCTGAACTAAGAGTGACCACTGTTGCATTAAACAGCCGAACAGAAAATGAAACAAAGATTCAAAAGAATTCGAGCATTCAAAAATTGATTGATCATTATTCCTCGTGGCAGCGTTTGAAGAGAGCAGTTGCGTGGGTACGACGCGTTATAGACACATTGGCTGGTAAACAGAAATCAGCACGGGCATCAGAGCTGACTGTAACAGAGCTAAAGTCAGCCGAGAATATTATCATCAGGGAACTTCAGGGTCAGTACTATGCGGAGGAGGTAGATAATCTGAAAGCAGGACGGGAAGTGCGGCGGTCCAGCAGCCTTGTGTCTTTGGACCCCACGTTGGAGGATGGTCTTCTGAGGGTAGGAGGTCGTTTAGGGCACGCGATAGGCGTGGCCTATGAAAGTAAACATCCTTTGATCATTCCAAATAAAGGGCGAATTCCGGAATTAATCATACGGGATATTCACGAGAGGATTGGCCATGCAGGTCGTCAATGTGTCCTGGCGGAATTGCGTAAGAGCTTTTGGCTAATCAAAGCCAATACGGCGGTTAGGAGATGTCTCCACCAATGCCTCCGCTGCCGCAGGTTTTTTCGTACTACGGAGACGCAAAAAATGGCTGATTTGCCTGCAGATCGAATACAGCAAAGTGAGCAGCCATGGGTGAGTACCGGGGTAGATTATTTTGGACCATTCTATACCAAGAGAGGGCGTGGACAGGTCAAACGTTACGGTGTCATTTTTACATGCTTGGCCATTCGCGCCGTCCACCTGGAAGTAGTCGAAAGTTTGTCGTCCGACTCTTTTATATGCGCCCTCAAGCGCTTCGCGGCCAAGCGGGGCTCACAAATAAGAATCATGCGTTCTGACAACGGGACAAATTTTGTGGGAGCGGATCGTGAGCTGAAAAAAGAGCTCGAGTTTCTTGTTCAGCATGAGGCCCAAATTCGGAGAGACTTGATAAATCGAGGTATTGAATGGCGTTGGAACCCCCCTGGTGCCTCTCACTTCGGAGGCGCATGGGAGCGATTGATTAGGAGTGTTCGTAAGATACTGAGCGGTTTACTCAGGGAGCAAACATTTACTGACGAAACACTAACCACATTCCTTTGTGAAGTGGAAAGCATTATGAATAATCGACCCTTGGTACCAGTGACAAGTGACCCTCGAGACGACCTGCCGCTAACGCCCAATCACTTGCTGCATTTACGTTCTGTTTTGCTACCAGCCTCAATGGTGACAGATATAGATGCGTTTAGCAAAAAGAACTGGAAACGAGCATCGTTCCTTGCAGAGCAGTTTTGGCGACGTTGGCGTGCGGAATATCTCCCATTACTTCAGCCAAGGGCCAAGTGGTCAAGGCTCCAGACAAATTTGCAGGTAGGCGATGTGGTGCTTATTGTTGACAGTTCAGTTCCGCGGGGTGTGTGGCCTCTTGGCTTGATAGAAGAGGTCAGAACAAGCACTGACTCGAGGGTACGATCCGTCAAAATCCGGTGTAAAGGTACCACGATTTGGCGGCCTGTTCAAAAGCTAGTTAACCCTCTAGTGCCCCCGGTATCATATCTGTAAGTCAATTTGCAGAAAATTCGCCTGCTAATCATAGAGGTGAAAATTGTTGAAAACCCTGCTGTATCAGAAGTGGTACATCTTGGCAACCACCTGGTGGCAAAATTTTTAAGTAATGATTTCTCAGTTTCCCACCAGGTGATTTTGAAGAGGGTCAGTTTGTCCTTTGCCGAAAATCAATTTGAGATGCAAGTGTAAATTTAAGCATTTAGAAAACAAAAAATTAGTTATTTGGAAAGAAACTTGGTAAACTGTGAGACAAATGTTCAACATATATCATAGTATGTTGCAAAACATCGCAACTTTTTCAGAGTCAAAGATACGGACCCCTATTTTTGGGGATACTAGATATGATACAGTGGGCATAGCACTCCAATATTTTCTATGAAATTTTCGCCGCTGCAACATACGGTGTGCCAATACCATAGTTTTCTCAGGTGATAAGCATTGCAATGGCCTGTGAGTCATTGCAAATGACGATGGTACAAGATGCATAAATTTGTGAAGTTCGCCCCTCTTGCGTCAGATATAGAGGATTCTTCATGGCTCCGAGTGGAAGATAAGGATATCTTTTCCAAGCGGGTTACTGAAATACCGAGCGACGAAGGAGCGAGGTTTTTCTGTAACACGCGAGGAAAAGATATCCGATCTTCGACGAGTGAGCCATGAGGAATCCTATATCTTTCTATGTTGAGGTTTATTCTTAATTAATAGAATATTATATTTAAATGCATTCATCTATGTAAAAACAGATTCAGAGTAGTTTGTTCTTATTTCATAAGTTTCATCCATAAACAACCATTAAATGTCGTTCGGTTATTGACCGATCGTCACATGAACTCTTGATTTTTCGCTATGAACCCTCGCGACCTTATCTTTGCATTTCAGAGGGATGCAGATATAACAAATTCTTATCTTTGCATCTCAGAGGAGTGCGAGATAGAAATATCCCTGCACTGTAGGCCCAATGGCAAATAAACCTCAACTAGAAAGATAACTCTATTTCGCTCCAGACTTAAAATGTCATAACGATATTGGTACGCTTATGCCGCCTCTCATCCTTGTCAATCTTCCAGCATCTAGCTTTCTATGAGTGGCCTTGCATGCCTCAAACATCTCGACTTTTCTAACGCTCATAGGAATATGGTTTTGCAACTGTTTGACGATGACAATAGTGAACTTTTTGATCTGCAGGACACTAGCAGACCATATCTTCTAAAACCACGTTAGGAATGACATGCTATCGATGACAAGCTTGTTGATTTCAAGGAACGATCATCCGTGCGAGCATTTATGTATACTCGTGAAACCAAAAATTGAGACTTGATGTTAGGGACAGGAGGATTCAGCGGTCTCTTGCACAATTTCGATATTCCAACAGGGGTTGTGGACGAGCTTATTTATGTCTTGTGGGTCTATGTGTTAGCTGGGCATGGCTGAAGACTTGCATTAGCAGCCAGCCAGCATTTTTCATTCATATTGGAGAACGCCTCACAATTTGTTTGCGATTCAAATCTCCTTCGTTCATCCCAGTAGTAAGAGATTGAATGTGGAGTGGAAAACTATATCATCATCTTCAGAGGAAGCTGGCTAAACTGGCTCGCCATGAAGACAGACTCCGGACCGAAGGACGTGATTCCTTTGATTTCCTATCTAAGAAGTAGGCAACCATGCACTGCTGCCAGGTTCCAGCAGGTGCCTGACACCTGGCAAGCATTCACTGCCAGGTATGTCATTTGTTGTCATATATTGACATATACCGTCAACTGTGGTAGCTGAGTGCCACTGAACAAAAATGATTTATAGGTACTAAAACATGGATACTACTTTTGTACAGACCATAAGAATAAAAGTGTAAGTGCGGCATTGCGTAATGCGTACGCTCACCTCCATATGAGGTCAATGAATATTGTGCAAGTTCCTGCCGATCGGTGCACAGTTACCTGTACCTTTGTTGTCTGACACGTACAACGGTTATTGCACTGGTCAGTGCGCGGCTGTTATACTGACGCCGATGACATCAGGACCGCACGACCAGTCAAAGTACTAACTGACGATTCACAGGCTGAGAGTTTCAGCCACCCGAGATTGTCCGGCTATCATGAAAGTAAACCAACATCGTCTTTGGCATTGATCCCGGTCCGTCGGCAGGCTGTCCAGCATTTTGCATCAGAACTGCTTCACTTCAACCACTTACCGCGAGCCAACTGTAATGTCTTCATTTCTATATCAAGTAGGCATAACGCATCTACGTTTGAGAAGCATGGCCCACATGTCTGAATTATGAAAAAATTGCACAAGTGCAACGCGCTGTATCGTGGAAATTGAAGGAATAGAAGGCACTCGTAAATAGATGCCTGTGATTAGCGTTGTTCCCTAAGCACCGACTGAAAGGACATTTTGATACAAGAAGGATGTCAATGAAATATCAAGAAAATGTTCTGATAAAAAGTGCACAGTAGGTAAAGGATGTCTTGTTGGCATTTTACACATTTTAACTGCCATTTTTATCACTGAAATTCTTAATAAGATATATTTTCACATCTATGTCTTCACTTCCTTCTGTATGGTCTGACGCCACTAAAAATTACCAAGTGGAATGCCCAATGTATCATATTTGATACAAAATTTATTTCCGAAATTTGAACTGCGAAAAAATATTTGACTCCAGATTTCGAACAAGGGACCCAAAATGAATCATATGTCACAAGGTGCTAATTTTAGGAACCGTGGAACTATGTGTGGGCATTAGAGGGTTAAAATCACGGAAAGTTAAAAATCTCTCAATCTGAATAAATTTGATCCCATAGTATCAAATGGGCCGGGTGTTAAAGCCGAGTATCTTTTTATGTTGGCTGCAAAATGGATCTTAATCTGTCGAGTTTTTCTTCTGTTGGCAGGTATCTTATGTTAACGGCACATGTGTTATATATATATTTTTAGCGTTTGTCTCGTGAGGTCAGATTTAATTTGCTGATTCAATTGTTGTTTCGTTGGCCAGAGATTATGTTATTTTTCTAGGTTTTGGTATCGCTTTTTTGTCATTTTTATGTTTTATGCTTTTGCGTCCGTTTACAAAATCACCAAAGGACAGTGAGCGGGTGAGCGGCGCGAAGCGGGACGAATTGAACGAACTTGAACGAACGAACCTGAACGAACGAACGAACCTGTACGAACGAACGAACTTATACGAACGCGCTTATACGAACGCCAACGAACGATAAATCGGCGGTGTCAAGTTCTTGCCGGTGGCTGCAGACCTGAAACAATCCGTGAGTTTTCTTTGCGTTTACGTGTTTGTGTGCTATGTGTTTCGTTTTATTTGGTTACTACTTCTATCGTACTTATATTTGGTTACGTCTTATATCGCTACTGACTGTCTTTTTTAATTGTCATACTTATGGACCTGTTGGTGTGTTTTGTTTCTTGCAGAAAACCGTTTTTAAATACAATGAGTATTGGATCCTGAGGCTCCACCGGTAAAACATACGATATTGCCGACTTTTATTTCGTGGGAGCTTTTAGTCGCAGTTACGCGGTGTTAATATCCACGAGCCTTTTTGGCAAAAATCAAGCGTGGATCAGCAGTCCAAACAACAATGTTTTTTTTAACTTAAGTTCAAAATTTTACCATTTTTAAACGTTTATATCTGGCAAGTTACACAACATTAAACTTCATAAGTTACAGTTAAACATTCTACGTTAAATTCCTAACCACGCTATATTATTTTCAGCTCGTGACACAATCTAGTTACGGTAAAAATTGACAAAATACTAGAGCCCCTTCAAACACGTCCGACCCCTCTAACTGATCCTGAGCACCAGCTCAGGAGCAGTTAGCTAGACCCTACACCTACACTAACAGGGGACACAGCCCACGAGAATGATCGGTCCCCTCCCGTTCCGATACGTCCAACCTTCGCAGGTGGAGATGACGGAGGCGATGTGCCTACGCGTGGTCTACCACTCGGCTGAGGACGCCTCGCCTCCTACCACGCCCCCTTCCCCAGCTGCCCCGAACGACCCTTTCCGAGCTTGCAGTTGGGAGGGCAATCGGCTCCGCAGTGGGAACTTCCATGACAGCTGGCACTGTGCTAGTGACTTTCGATGGTGAATGTTGTGTGGGCGCGACACCTGTGCCCACACTAACTGGGGGTCGCAAGGAACCGCTGCGTCCGCCCCTACCCCTACCCCGTCCGCCGTCGGACCCTCTTGGGAGCGACTGAGTGTCTTTCTGTTTCCCCAGTCTCTGCTGACGGGCGGCTATCCTGAACTACGGAGCTCTCTTGAACCTCGGCTTCCTCCACTTCAGCTTTCTGAGTGGAGGACGGCGGGATCTCAGGGACAGGGTGTCTGCTAAGCACGCCTACACTAGCCAGAACCGCCTCATACGCCTCGATGTGGGCATTTGACGCGCCCTTGCCCCTCGCATTGTCTTTTTACCTCTTGTCTTACGCCCTACACGGCGCGGGACAGATGGACATTAGGACACAGATGGACTTCACCGACTTCTGGCTACGCTCTACAGCGGGGCGACTTTCCGGTGCCGCCACCTGGGGTACCTGTTCCCTACGCCAGCTATCATTAGGTGCCCGAGTGTAGAGCTCATAGTGGCCGTTATCTACTTCGAGAGTATACTTCATGTGTATAGGCGGCGGTGTGTTCTCATCCCTCTGGGCCGGGGTCCCAACACGGGCAAAGACTCTCTGCTCTCGCCACACTACCAGCTCTCGTCCGACGAGCTCGGAGGCCACGAAGTTCGGGGTGGCCACCCCACGCCCCCTGCGGACGGTGCATCGCCTCCATGTGCGTAGCAAAATCTCCCAACATATATCGAGGACTATGATTAAGTACTAGAAGACTTCCTTTTTGAAAATGACTGCCACCAGTCAATGGAGGAAAAGAAGAACAACTTATACCAATTATGGAGATGTAGAAATAACAAATGAACGCCAAAGAGGAAGATCACAAGAATCGATAAAATATCAGTCGAAGATAATACGGATGGGGTGGCGTTGCAAAGCCAACACCCCGAGAAAAATCTGATCTGATCTGAGGGTTAACTGGTCAGAGCCCTCCACACCAGAGCATAGATCTGAAAACGACCACTTGTCAGCGTTAGGCAGTGAGGCCACGTCCCATCTCAACTCTCGACCTCCATCCCCGAGAGCCGTGACCGATGGAGCACAGACTGTAGATGATAACGTAGGATCCCGTTACGGCTCCAGGCACACCCGTTACTCAAAGAGGGTTTCTTCCGTCACTCGTTCCATGCTAGAAGAGCTAGAGGAGCGCTGCGATCACAACGTTGTCGTAGTTGCTGTTCAGACCGACCTGCAAGCAGTCACGTCTGATCTGGGTGCGCCTGTGCCATATTTGGCCAGTGCAAAGGTTCTGATTACTTACCTAACGGGTGAGATGGGCGAGCGAAAGAAGACAAAACCGAGCAATCTTTTGCAACGCGGTTTCTGCGGCCCGTCAAGCGGCATGAAAAACACTTCAGATACTATTCTTGGCTGAGATTCAAAACTTTTGTTAAAAAGTATGGACTATCGGTAACAGACGTGCTCGATAGCGAGCACCTCTTTATGAAAATTTTAGCCGAGGTTAATCGATTTTACGTCAGGCATCCCAACTGTGTTGAGGGGGAGGGCCTCGAGGCACACCGGGGACCACAATGCCGGGAGGATGTGGACAATTTGTTGAAATTACATTATTATGGGCTCGGCTGGTACCCGTATTACAGACAAACTACATTCAAGGAGGTATTTTGACACGTTTATCCCGATGATGCTGATGCGTGGCCGAGTTTCTTGAAAGAACCCCAGGCGGACGTGGTGTGAGGCCCACTTTGAGAAAATGATAGAGATTGTGCATAAGAAAATTAGGCAACAACATTCACGTTACACTAATCTTTTCGTACCATTTTCCGGTCCCCAATGTCATGAGGATCGTGCCGTCCCTGCGCGCCTAGCGCACGATGTCAAGTTCGTTTCGAGGGCGGCCACGCCACGGGGTCCTCCGGCGGTACCCCGCCGGTGGCTTCGCAGCATGAGCCGGGCGTGGACGGTGTCGACGATCCCATTGATTTTCAGTTCCCTTCGTTCTCCATTCGTCGTTGTCAGGCTGGGGGCTGTGGGAAACTGCGTGTGCTGGATGCGAGGGCCGCTGCCAAGTATCCACTGGGAAGTTATATGTACGCCGGTTCTAAAGAGACTGTCACATTCACCTGCGATCAACTGGTGGGCATCGATTGCAGCACGAGGTCGGACATAGAGAGGTGCCACTGCCCACGCACAGAGTCGACTCGCTTCTGGGTTGCGCTATGTGGCGGGTTTACTGGCCGCTACAAATCGCCGCCGGCGGTCGTTTGTCTCCAGTCACTTCAATCGTTGCTAAAGGACGGCAACACCAGGACAGAGCAGAATCTGGTCACCGGCTCGTATTTCCACAGTCGTGATCCTGCTGCAGCCGCCTGGGCCAGCGCGTCTCGGTGGTGACGCGTACCTCTCCGGACGGCACGGTCAAAATAGGTGTTGTGTCCCATCCTAGACGCGAGGCGCCGCACCGACACTTTCGGCGTCTGATCAACCTGCTCTGCGACCTTCCCTATGGCCTCCTGGCTGCGAGATGGTTTTTTCCGACCACTGTTTCCGGCATTCTGGTTTCTAGTGGACCCTTCTGCCAGAAACTTCTCAGTCATACGCTGTATGGTCTTTATCGTTGGAGCTTCTCGGACCTTAAAATGTCTGCGATACTGCCTTAGCGTTAAAACGGCTGATCCGTGTTTGAGGTAAAATTCGACTATTTTGGTTTTTTGTTCAGTATTAAACGGCTTCATGACTGACAGAGCGCTCGTGCCATACAACACAATTTCCATGAACCTCGCTTTCGATTGACGTTAAAAGTTTACATGTCACACACATATATTTCTTTGTACTTTTAATTTAAATGTGGTAGGTACTTTTTTCTGGGACACCCGGTATCATGAGCATAATGTCATTTTCTACCATCATAATATTCATAATTATGCTCAAACTAGCCATAGCTCACCTCCAATTAATTATGAAACATGTAAATAATCTGTCGAGTTTTTTTTAAAGACATCAGTGTCTTTGGTGAGAGTTGGGACCCAAAAAGGCAAAAGGTTCCATGATATTTCCTCGTTGTCAAGGTAGAGAACACTACCTACGCAGAACACTACCACTAGTGATGGCTCGTGACGGGTGCTGCCGCTGTGAGGACGGTAGTTGTAATTTTCGTCTCGTATAATAATACATCACTCGGCGGCGGCGCACTGTAGGCCGGCAGCCCGAAAAAGCGCTAGAAATTCCCCCAAACTGACTGTCCGCAATATGAACAAAATAGGTATCATTTAAAGGGACCCTCCCACCTTAAAGGGACCCTCCCACCTTCAAAAAAGTTTATGAATTGGCATGAAAGTGATGTCGCTTGGTTCAGAAAGAGCGAAAACGAATATCTACTAAATTTCACCGAAAAATATTCACCGGTTTTCAAGATATTAGACTTTTACTTTTGTTTACTTTTTTGGGATCTCCGCTGTTTCTAGCGACTTTATTTTAGAAGTGCGGCGTTTGCGTAGATGTTGCGCGCAAATAGCATATACCACCGCGTGCTACAAAACGTTTTAGTCAAACATTTAAAAATCGTTAGATATTTGTGCTGACGTCACACATTCAGAGGGGTATTCCTAAGCATTAGCCCCTCTGAATCAAAATGCTGCAATTTTGAAATTCAATATTTCCGATTTAAGGCATTTCTCGATGTTGTGAGTGCCGAAACCGGTAATTGTGAGCCAGGGACCCCATTTTGGCTATCTCAACTCAAATCTAATGTTAAGGTGGGAGGGTCCCTTTAACATTAGATTTGAGTTCAGATAGCCAAAACGGGGTCCCTTGCTCACAATTACCGGTTTCGGCACTCACAACATCGAGAAATGCCTTAAATCGGAAATATTGAATTTCAAAATTGCAGCATTTTGATTCAGAGGGGCTTATGCATTTGAATACCCCTCTGAATGTGTGACGTCAGTGCAGATATCTAAAGATTTTTAAATGTTTGACTACAACGTTTTGTAGCACGCGGTGGTATATGCTGCTTTGCGCGCAACAAGTGCCGCACTTTCAGCTGCCAAACTGTTGCTTCCAAATAAAGTCGCTAGGAACAGCGGAGATCCCAAAAAGTAAACAAAAGTAAAAGTCTAATATCTTGAAAACCGGTGAATATTTTTCGGTGAAATTTGGTAGATATTCGTTTTCGCTCTTTCTGAACCGAGCGACATCACTTTCATGCCAATTCATAAACTTTTTTGAAGGTGGGAGGGTCCCTTTAATCCCAAATTGATCGAAGAATACGATTCCGATGCCAGTTTTTCCCTAAGGTCAAAATTGAGGTCGTCAGTTGTCACCAAACACAAGACAATTTAGACTCTCTAGTGGCCACCACATTTACCGATTTTCATGAT